TAGGAGGGCTATTAGGAAGGCCAAGGCAGAGATGGAACTCAGGCTAGCATCCAGGATTAAGGACAGCAAAAAGTCCTTTTTCAAGTACATTGGGAGCAAGAAGAGGGCACCAGGCAATGTAGGGCCTCTGCAAGACACAAACGGTAATCTTGTCACTATGCTAGATGAGAAAGCTGATATTTTTAACAGTTTCTTTGCCTCTGTTTTCTTGAACAGGGACCAGGACATCCCACCTACCAGAGGTAGGGACAATCTCGGGGATAGCTCTCAGGACTTTGGTCAGCACAGATGTAGTTAGAGATCTTCTGGAAGGGCTGGACATTTTTAAATCTGCAGGTCCAGATGCCCTCCACCCAAGGGTGTTGAGGGAGCTGGCAGGGGTCATCGCGGAACAGTTTGCCCAGCTGTATGAGCATTCATGGTCATCTGGCCAGGTGCTGAAGGATTGGAAACTAGCTAATGTGGTCCCAATTTTTAAGAAAGGGAGGAAGGAGGACCCAAGTAACTATAGGCCCATAAGCCTCACCTCGGTGCTCAGGAAGATCTTGGAGAGAATCATCAAGAAGCACATCTGTGGGGGGCCAGCAGGGGAGATCATGCTCAGGGGCGATCAGCATGGGTTCATCAAAGGCAGTTCCTGCCTGACCGACCTGATTGCCTTTAATGACCAAGTAACTAAGTCCTTGGATGATGGTGCCACCATGGACGTAGTCTTTCTAGACTTTAAGAAGGCCTTTGACACTGTCTCTTGCCCCATTCTCATAAAAAATTAGGTGACTGTGGCATTGATGCCTACACAGCTGGATGGGTAAAAAATTGGCTGATGGGGTGCACCCAGAGAGTAGTGGTGGATGGGTCGTACTCAACCTGGCAAGATGTGAGCAATGGGGTACCCCAGGGCTCAGTCCTCGGGCCTGCACTGTTTAACATCTTCATCAGCGACTTGGATGAGAGGGTTTAAAGCACATTGTCCAAGTTTGCTGATGACACCAAGATGTGGGGTGAGGAGGATACACTTGAAGGGAGAGAGAGGCTGCAACTAGATTTCGACAGACTAGAAAAGTGGGCAGATGAGAATAGGATGGGGTTCAACGTAGACAAATGCAGGGTGTTGCACCTTGGGAGAAGGAATCCACAGCATACATACAGGCTGGGGAGTTCCCCCCTTGAAAGCACAGAGGCGGAAAGGGATCTTGGAGTCATTATTGACTCCAAGATGAACATGATCCGCCAATGCCAAACCACAGCCAGCAAGGCCAGCCATACCTTGTCATGCATCCAAAGGTGCATCTCAAGCCGGTCCAGAGAGGTGATACTCCCCCTTTATGTGACATTGCTCATGCCACAATTGGAGTACTGCGTCCAGTACTGGGCACCACACTTTAGAAAGGATGTGGCCAGCTGGGAGAGAGTTCAGAGGAGGGCCACGCATTAGGGAAGCAGGACAGGCCCTATGGGGAGAGACTGAGGGACCTGAACCTACTCAGCATCAGCAAGAGGAGGCTGAGGGAAGACCTGGTGGCTGCCTACAAACTCATCAGGGGAGATCATGAGCAAATAGGAAGAGCCCTATTCTCCTCAGCACCACCTGGGGTGATGAGGAACAATAGTAATAAATTGATGGACAATAGATTTAGGTTAGAGATCAGCAGACAATATTTTACAGTTAGGGTGGCCAGAATCTGGAACCAACTTCCTAGGAAAGTGGTTCCTTTGGGCAAATTCAAAAAGAGGTTAGATGATCACCTGTCTAGGATCTTGTGAACCCAGCATTCATTCCTGGCTGTGGCATGGGGTCAGGCTAGATGATCTGTTCAGGTCCCTCCTGACCCTAGCTACTATGAAACTATGGAACTATGAGGAGGAGAGAGGCATACATCCTACCAGATGGGCAGCAAGGACACTCCAAAGCTGAGATACCACCTTTTATGACTAAACTGACCTTGGGCTGAGATAAGCTGTAGATGAATGAAGAACAACTGCAAAAACAGAAGCTGGGGTGGAAAAGCCACAAAGCACTGAAAAAAAGGATGCCAATCCCTATAAAAGAAGGCTTTGAAATGCTAAGTTGGGTGAGTCTCATGCTCAACTGCTGTTTCTTCAGAGCA